AAAGCTACTGAAAGCTCAGTTTTTCAGCTATTTTGAAAAATTCTTTGAGATAGGACCAAGGATTAGGGAAGTCTTGTTGGTCTCCATCTCCCGATACGCTCTCGCCTGTGTCCGACCTTTCAGACATTTCCACATGACATCTTTATCGGAATCCGACATTGTAGCATGGGATAGATAATTCACGTTTGCAGTTTGAAGAACACCTGCTTGCTTCTGATGATTTTCTTTAGCTAACCAATGAGTGTTTACGTTATATGACTCATTCAATGACACTAGTTTTCACTAGATGTGGATGGCGCCAATGATCTGCATTGGATGGCACACATGACGTGAAATTATTTATTAACATTAAACCAAGGCCAAGACTAACGAGTAAAATTTGTTTTAAAAACTTGTGTGAAAATGAGTAGAAGTCAGAAGTAGGAAGAAAAAGAAGTAATGGAGTAAAGTATACTTCAAAAGTCTGGTAAAAACCTCTGGTAATAGACTATATATTTAATTCTCTATTACACACTTCACACAAACTGTCCACCTTTAGGTGCTAGAGCCATGTGGAAGATTAAACACTAGACATACATAAGTGTGCAATAACTTATGAGTGCAAAAGGCAAATTACAGCAATTCACTCATTGTTTGCCACCTGAATTTGAGATGCCTGACCAGACCTTATTTATACCGCAACACATGTCAGATTTTAATATGATGGTGAGCCTTTTAAACCGGACACCAATAGCAAAGCAGACAGTGGTAATTTTAATTACTATTTTAATAACTGGGTGTAGTTCATTAGACGGTTGGTTAAAAAAATACACTCATATAATAGGTTTCAAACCGCCATAAAGATCTTAAAAGAACGATGTATTTGAGCATTTTATTTTTACACTACAACTTGGAATTATGGGTAACCCAGGGTGTTGTACTTCATATGGGGCACAGATAATGTTGGTTACTTATTGTTGTGTCGTTACGCCATTGGTCAGATATTTAGCATAAATAACATATATAGTATCCTCAAACTGTTTACATCTTTATGTCTTAAAAGGCCTGTTAATTACCAGCATGGCTGATGATCAGATCAGCCTGTCTCATGTCTTCCGCTATGGAGTCCTTGAAGCGAAACGCCTCCACACTGAGGTGAGCACAGCTGTCAGCATCTGGAACAAAAGTTCCTCTTCCGACTTGCAGAACCAGACGCTCATACCCCCGAGCCTTCAGTATCTGTTAGGGGGGGCAAGCATTTAAAAATAATAAAATAACATGATCAGCTCCTAACCAGACCTAAGAAGATCCCTGCTCACCTGTGTTACTTCAGGGGAAGTGACGCTCTCTATCAGCTCATCAAAGCGCGTAGTTCCGACGGTAACAAAGACCGTCTTCATATCTACTGCCGTTTACTACCAATCCTTATTTTGTAAAAGTTTGGACTTGTTTTCTAAACTTCATCTTCATCCTGCAGAAAACAGTCCTGACAATCACTTCCGCTTAGACGTCATCGCTTCACCCAGCCAGGCAGAATGGCGCCCCCTGGAGGCCGGAGGTCAATCTATTGAGTTTACAGCCTCTTTGTTTACAGACTGTGGTTCTCAAACTGCTTTCAAGATTAAATCTTTTACATCAAGCTACACAAAGGCATTTGGTACATTTTCAACCTTTTTAAATTGCAATATGCAAAGAAATATATTTTCCTTAGTTAAAAACATTGGAAATGATCATCTCATTTTCATACACAAATTAAAATGTCCTACTTTAAAGCTATAGTAATGACAGAAAGAGTCAAATCCAACATAGCTGCCCTCAGAATATAACTTAGTGCAGTCAAAAACAGTTTTTTGCACTTTTGCATAACATTTCCCACCGTACTACCATACAACCATTTTTTACTGACCATGGTCCTGTGGTGTTTTAAAGTATAAAATATTAGTGAAACTTATTTAGTCATCTGCTTCAGTTCAAAAAGTGAGATTTTTATATTTTCTGCGTGGCACTTGATGAAGCAAAGCTTAATGTGGCTGAATAGCTCATTGTTTTGCCTGTTAGTTCTACATTGCAGGAGATTAGCTTCACTTTGGGAAAGGCTGTTTGGACGATTCACACAGATCTATCCAGGGTGATTTAACATATTTTTAAACTGATGTTCTTCACTTCTGTTTGTGACATTTTTCATAACAAAGATGAAAGTTAAACAAGGATAACTTTTACCTAAGTGTGATTTATGTTCATTTTTGTTTTGTTTAAAACTTACTTACAGCATATATTGTAGCTAAAACAGGAAAAAGCTGGATAGTAAATATATGCTCAGATCTCTTCTTATGTGTCTAAGATCAAGAGCTGTCTGACCTTAAGTGTTTTAAGATTGCAGAATATCATTTATCCAAATGTCAGTCTCACTATGTCTTTCAGTGACTTCTCTTGTATGTTAATTTGCCATCCAGGATGACAATTAACAATTGTTTTAACGTAGCTTAGGGGTAACTTAATAGCTCCCAGTTACAAATGTTGTACTTAGAGTTAAGTTTTTGAAGAAACCCTTCCTCTAATAGTTTTATTGCACCATGTATTTCACTTCTACTTGAGTAAAATATTTTTGAAATACCACAACTTTAGTTTAAATTTTTTTTGCTAATCCACCCACCTTTGTTCACTACAGAGGTTAAACTACACATTTGTTTTCTATCTGTATTTACAAACAGCAGTCATAAGAGTATTTCCTTTCTTCACAGATGTTTTTTTTTTTCAGGTAATATTTTTGTTTTTTACCTATCTAAATAACCTGGGTAAAATCTAGATGCTGTTTTAAATTGATAATTCCATTTATTTGGGCAAGACAAAAACTGCCTCCCTAAACCTTATGTTTTTTTATATAAATGACAAAGAGCTTTTTATATTAATGTGGACAACCTTTGGTTTACTCTTCAAACCAAATAATCCATTCTATCTTCTTCAGTGATAAGGGGATGTTTATATATTTTTTTTCTTTAGTCCAACTGCTTATAATGTTCTTTCTTGTTTTTTTTATTATTTATTTTTTCTTCTACTTGCTCTGATTCTGTTTTATTTTCCTATATTTTAATCATGTAAAGTACTTCACATTGTCTTTGTACTGAATTGTGCTATACAAATAGATTTGCCTTGCCTTGCCATAAGTCGTAGACCATAACATTAAATGTGAAGGGCATGGAGCTTGGAACCCTGAAGTTCTGAGTTTGAGCCCCACTCCCACAGACTGCCACTCTGGCTGTCTGAGCAAGACCCTTAACCCCTGATTGCTCCTTGGGCGCCCCACAAAGGCAGCCCACTGCTGCCCAAGGGGATTGGTTAAACACAGAGGTAAATTTCTCCAAAGTGAGATTCAATTATTAAATGTGGTTTTGTATTCTGGTATGTTTTTCTTTTCCTGAATTGCCCTAAGTTTCATGGCATACATAACCAAACACAAACCTAATAAAAAGGCGGAGTTTCTTTATTGTTGAATCACAAATTCTGACCAATGATTATTCTCTGCGTTGTTGGGATGAAGTTGGCAGACCTGGGAACATTTAGTTTTATTTCCACCCTTTACAGAACAGTGGATGTCACTCACTATGTTTCTCTTGGTTGTTGCACAAGCCACTTTTTAAATATTTAGCCCTTCCACATGTTGCCAGACAAGTTCTGTTTAGGTGATTTTTTTACATTTCCGTCGGGCACTCAAGTTTGGCAAGTAAAATTAACCAACAGTTTACAAAAAAAAACATTGTTAAATGGGGTTCATTCATTAAGTAACAAGGGGAAAATAACTGTACACCATACATTGTGTTTGGTCTAGGTAACTTCAACCCTTAATAGATGAAATGCTATTTGAAAAATACATCTTGAAAAGATTCTGTTGTTTTAGCTATTTAAATTTTTTTTTTGTTTGACAAAAAGCAAGAACAGAATAAATCTCCAAGAAATGTTAAAAAAAAGTGTACATAAAAACAAGGATTTTATCAAATATTTGCATAGGTATTATAAGGGGAGAGTTGCTGAAAATGTTTATGTTCTAATAATTATAATAATTAATCATAAAATTATTTTCTTCTGCAGTTTTATGTGTAATATCTAATACAAAAATAGGCCTGAAATTCTTGCCAGTTCTGGGAAGCAGAGTCATGGTTTGTTGGGAAATTTACAAGAAATTCCTCACCATTACTGTTATTAGCTAAACCTGTTTGCTTCCGTTTGTTTAAAGTCAAACATCAGCTGTCATACATTTACAGGAAACTTCATGAACATAAACTCTGACTGTTTTCATCTTAAAGCCTCAATACATTTCACCAGACGCTCAGGTCTCAGGAAGAAACTTAAAATGAAAAGCATTTCTGAAGGACTAAGCTGTAACATTCAAAGACAAACGTCACTAAAATGCAAAATCACAGATCTTACGGAGCGACATTTTCATTCAGGATCTCTGCAGGTCGAGGAAAAGGGGCCGGCTAACATCCCTACACACACTTCACACATTTTGGACTCAAATTGTTAGAGGTTTACCTTCAGGTCGGTGGTATGAGCCGCCACAGAGGCACCTTCTTCCCTCAGGCTGCATCTCTTATAAACAGTCTGTTTACCCATGTTCTAACCAAACATGTTTGATTTCATTCCGCCACACAAACGCCCCACTCCGATCCATCAAACTTTATTTTTATTTGAAATATCTGTACATTGATAGAGAACTGGAACTAATCAGATTCCTTGTTCATGTGCACAAAGTTGGTCCATAAGGTCAATAATGAAGTCTTAACGTTTGGGATTGATCTGATTTTTAAGATTTGAGACCAAACCCTTTTTTTTAACACCTCTTCAGTTTTTGGTCATGTCTCCAGGACATCAAAGATATGACGTTTGGATGCATTTTATTGTCAGTGAATGGGTTAAGATAGCGACCTTCATGTTATGTTACCATTGTCCAAAAAGGCTTTCTTCTCATTGTGAACATAAATTGGTTCAATCCCAGCTCCCAGTATTGTTGAGTAAGCTCTGCAACTATCTGACGGCCTGTTTAGGGTAGATATGTTTAATAAAAACAAATAATTTGTTTAAATCTCAAATATAATTAAATCCAAATAATGTATCTTTCTTTTCCAACAACAGAAGGCTTCCCAGTTCTTTAGTTGCTGCTACAAGTTCTGTATTATCTTGCTCTATTGGCAGTCTCAGTAGGAGCCTTTCACAATTATATCAAGCTTAACCATCCCTCTTTCATAACAATCTTTCATTTTGACTCTTCCAATAAAGAATTATATTATATTTTGCACATGGATCCTCTGTATGAATTAATTTTCTAAGCCCCAAAACATTGTTTTTTGAAAGGGAGGCTAAAAAAATGAATAGTCACCCTAAAAAAATTATGCTGTAAAACACATTTGTTTGTCTGCCAAGACTTTTTGACAAGAATTGTAGAACATTTAAGTGATTCGGTGTGTGTGTGTGTGTTGGATACTGAGCTGACATAAGGGCCAAGATACGTCAGACTTTTGTTTTGACATAAAGACTGCCTGCCTTTATTTTGAACCCAGCTCCTGTGTGACATTGCACAAGTGTTATGTCACTCTGAAGCAAATGCTGCCCTCCTTGGTTAGTGCCAACCTGACTGACAGCCCAGAGGAGTGGCTGTGATATATAGACTGCTTGTACCTGCTGAATGCAGGTGCACAACAAACCTCCTGACAGATATCTGAACAGGAATCAGGGCACAGGTTTGTACTCGACTGTGACAGCAGGGCGTTGTGTGAGCATTTCGCTGCCATTGCTGATGTTTTGAGTAAAATGGAGAAGAACCAGTAGCTTATATAAACACAATGAAGTCCCCCCCATTCTGCTGCATGCGGCTGTCAATCACAAATTGACTTGGAGGGATTTTATCTGAAAGCCCGACAGAGAGAAGTGCTTAACTTTCATTTCAAAGTAAAATGATCCTTTGTTTCTCTTTCTTTTCTTCAGTCAAATAGTGCACAGAGACACACAGTAGTGGCAGCATCAAGCTGCATGGATGCTGTGTTTAGTAAAAACAAGCATGCTGGTCAGAATTAATGGGATCTTGGAGGAAAACCTTTTAGATGCTGCAAAACACTTGAACCAGGAAATGAGTTTCACTATGGCTCCAAAAATACAAGCTGAGTTGGAAATGGAGAAGTTGAAGTCAAAGCAAGTAAATCCTTTAGAATACCCTGGTCAATAAGGTTATGAACTTGTAAAAAGCGTTTTTTTAATGATTTTCTCTAACCCAGTCTGACCGAGCTTGAGAAATATGTAAGGAACATTGAACAAAAATAAAGGTCTCATGGATCTGTCATAATTACAGCAAACAGTGGACCTACAGTGTTCACCCTGGGGGGCTAAAAAATGCACAGTGAATATATTTGTATTTATGTATAACTAAATATATTTTA